CTCCACAGCATGGTTTCCATCCACCAGGGAATCCGTAGCATCTGGAACCTCGGAAACGAATACCCTCAAACAGGGGACCCAAATGGTATCACAGACGATGTGAGTGGTCGCCACGCGCCCCCATACGAGGGGAAGCCTTGGAGCACCAAATTCCACCTCATGTTCAGACAATGGAATCAGGGCAATCCAACGCCAGTGACCCGGCGGCATCTCAGACGCCGGCAACACACCCTGCGGGACCCCGCATGGACTTCCTCATGGGAGACAGCATGGCAGAGGGCATCACCCCATGAGCCCCTGCTGCAACGTTCACACAACCAGGCATCGGCAGAGACCCCTTCCGTCGAGCATCCTTCTTAAATTTTACCACTAGGCCATGGCCCGCACCAACATCTGCACCATCCACCGCAGGTGAAGCCACCACCCCACTGCAGAGAGCCTCCTGGTGAAGAAAAACCAGAAGGCACATAGAGACACGGGCACTGGCATTAGCAGGCACCTGGACCTCCGCCACCGCCAACTGCGCAGAGTGCGACGCACCCGGAACCACCTCGTCGACACCCGAAGATTCACAGTCACTGAAGTCACCCATATCCGCCCAGGCAGAAGACGAACGTCGGGGACGCTTGGGCTCCGGCTGTACATCATTGGAGCCGGAGGTGGACCCAGAAACATGGGCAACACAAGCTGGGCGAACCGACGCTCGACGCAGAATGGCAGCAGCCTCAACCACGGGGGGAACTGGGCCGCGCACAACAGGAGACACCGCAGCCGCCCCATCACCCAGCACAGCCGTGACACAAGGCGAGGGTGCAGGGCCAGGCGCAGCAGCAGGAAACGAGGAAGATGAAGACGTCGACAACTCGCAGAGAACAGCTGGAAGATCCTTGGGAGCAGTTGGGACAGCGATGGGAGCAGGAAGATAATCCGACAACCCAGCAACATCCAGAGGCACGCAGGGCGAGGCAGAGAGAGCCGCATCAGCGAACGGGATGCCCACATCCTCACCCCACAGAGTCCACCTCCACAGGGAACAGCAGGAAATCCTCTTCCCAGAACTGGTTCACGGGAGCGACTGCAGCCTCAGAGCACCAGACAACTTGATGCCCCAACAGGCCACACCTAAAACAGGTTCAGGGTTGCCTGGCATAGTACACCCAGACGTAGTATCCCAGAAGCCGGACTGAAGATGGAATGTCCGACCTATGGTGCATCCCTATGGTACGAATAGTCGTCAACATGCCGTTATACCTCCCCGAGGACAGCGTGTTCATCCGTACGCTGACGACAGCTCCAAACCTCTGGAAGTAACGCTGGAGTAGGTCTTCTGGAAACTCCAAGGTCGCCCCATGCACACTGACATACGTCAGGGCACCACTACGGTCCCTAATGGACACAGAGCCGGCATCATCCGGCAGCGGCTAGGAACGCCCCTCGTATCGTCGGAGGAACTCACGGTACTCCTTCACAAACTTGATAATAACGCGGTGAGCAGTTACAAGCTCAACACCGTAGATGGCATCCACTGAGACACGGAGCATGTCACACATAACAAGCTCTACTGCAGGGTAACCAGCACGGCCTGTAAACTCCAGGCCCACAGAGTTCACTCTCACAACAGGGGGAAGATGGCCTCCCATCGCAAGCATGCCACGTCAACACCAGCCAGGTGGCAACTGCAGGGAGGGCAGAGACGCCCACACCCTCTGGCGACCAAATCGGCAATCCCCCTCTTGGTACATTGTAGTAAAATATGCATTCAACATAACAACTATGATATAAGATGATGGTAATGATTACGATGGTGAAGTTATTTATTTATTTTTTTTTTTTTTTATTTTTTTATATACAAGACGGTACATTGGGTTAGAGAGAATACATAGCATAGTATTTACAATCTTGTAAAGCCACTAGTACGCGCAGCGTTTCGGGCAGGTTTTTAATCTAACAGATAATTTTAAGTAGGTAAATTCTAGCAGAATTAATAAAATTATAATAGATACATTGCAAGAAAAAAAATGAGATGAGAGAGAATAGTAAGCATATTAAAGCACATTGGTATATTAAAGCTCTGGTTGATTACACTGACAACTTGATTGGTAATTTAAACAAGATTAACAGACACCGTACAGCAGATTGATAGCACATATAAGAAGACAGCAATGATCACAATGGTAAAGATGTTCGGATTGGGTACATAAAAATATGGAGATTGGGTAGCAATAGATACAGTGCAATTTTAAAGCAACAAGGTAAAATAAACTATGCAGATGAGATTAGGTACCTTTTAGTTTTGTTTTTGAATGACGCAAAAGTTGGACAGCTTTTCAATTCATTAGGGAGTGAGTTCCATAGACTGGGTCCCTTTATTTGCATAGAGTGTTTACACAGATTAAGTTTGACTCTGGGGATATCAAAGATATATTTATTTCTGGTGTGGTGATAATGGGTCCTATTACATCTGTCTAGGGAGAGTTTCAGAGCAGGATTTGCATTTAAGAACAGGGTTTTGTAAATGTAATTGAGACAAGAAAATTTGTGGAGTGAGATTATGTTTAGCATGTTAAGGGAGATAAACAAGGGGGCTGAGTGTTTTCTGAAAGCAGAATTTGTTATTATTCTGATAGCAGATTTTTGCTGGGTGATGATGGACTTGAGGTGGTTTGCAGTGGTTGAACCCCATGCACAGATACCATAATTAAGATAGGGATACATTAGTGCATAATATAGAGAGATGAGAGCAGAGTTAGGTACATAATATCTGATTTTGGAGAGTATAACAACTGTTTTAGAGACTTTCTTAGTTATGTGTTGTATGTGGGTGCTGAAGTTGAGTCTCTTGTCAAGGAATAGGCCAAGAAACTTTCCATAATTTTTATTGCTAATGTTTACATTATCTATCTGAAGCTGAATTGCATTTGTAGATTTGCTTCCAAATAAGATGTAGTAGGTCTTTTCTGTGTTAAGTGTTAGCTTATTGGTTAACATCCATGAGTGGAATTTTTTTAGTTCATTATTAACAACAACATTTAGTGTATGTGGGTTGGGGTTAAAGTAGATGAGGGTAGTATCATCAGCAAACAAAATAGGTTTCAGAATGTTAGAGACATTAAGCAGATCATTGATGTATATAAGAAATAGGAGAGGTCCCAAGATGCTGCCCTGTGGCACTCCAACGGTTATTGATAGAGTGGGAGAGGTTATATTATTGATGGTTACACATTGGTGTCTATCACTAAGATAGGATTGGATATAGTCCAGTGCATGGCCTCGGATTCCATAATGATGGAGTTTACGTAAGAGGTAATTGTGATTAACAGTGTCAAAGGCCTTTCTCAGGTCAATGAAGAGTTCAATCGGAAAGTCATTTTTGTTAAGGGCTGAGTATATTATATCAAGGAGACTAATAATTGCATCGTTTGTAGTTATATGGCTATATAAGTTATATGGCTTAGGCACATATTTTGAGTTAGCACACGATACAGTGTGAGTGTGAAGCACTAGGTAGAAAAATATGAGGATGAAATTAGGTACTTTTTGGTGTTATTTTCGAATAATGGCTAGGTTGGACAGCTTTTAAATTCGTTAGGGAGTGAATTCCATAGACTAGGTCCCTTTATTTGCATAGAGTGTTTACACAGATATAGTGTGAAACTGGGAATATCAAGGATATATCTATTTATGGTGGGGTGATGACGGGTTCCATTATATTTGTCAAGGAAGAGTTTCAGATGGTTACCAATATTAAAGGCTTTCTCAGGTCAATGGAGAGTCCAATTTTTGTCCAGGTCTGTATAGATTATATCAAGCAGACTAATAATTGCATTATTAGTACTCTTTTGGGAGCAGAAGCCAAACTAACTGGGAATTAGTATGTTGAATTTTATGAGGTAGGAGTAGAGCTGTTTATAACTAATTTTTTTTAAATATTTTTTATAATTTAGGTAGAATAGACATTAGTGTGTAATTGTTTATGTCTGCCGTATCGCCTCCTTTATGAATAGGCGCTACTCGTGCTTTTCTATTGATATCAGGGAATGTATGACACTCCAGAAATTTGTTGAATAGCAGAGCTATGGGTGGTGGAAGGGCATGGTCATTAAACTGATACTCCAGGAAAATGGGTTGTCTTGGTTAGCTGCACCAAGGACAACCTTCCTCAGTAGCGTACAGTTCCGAATGGCTTCATAGGCGCTAGCAGCTACCTCGAGGTACTCACCCCTCTGATCAGCCAATCAGAGCCTTAACTCCTGAGTCGCTCACGTTTTCATTGGCCGCTGTGCCAGATTCAAGCAACCAGCGAGGAGGCCTTTCTCCCTCGCTAACAACAGAGGCTCACTGGTATGGGTGGGGTGGGGTAAGGTATGGGAGGGGGGGGGGAAGGTTTACCTAACAGTCTTCACCGAGTTGACCCTCCCTCTCCACACAACACACCAACTCCCTTCCTTTGCCAGAGCCAGGCCCCTGCACCTTAGCAGCAACTAACTACTCGATTTATTCTGGCTCAATTAGATGACCTAGGTCAACAGGGGCAATATCACTATCTTTCTTGGACCACAGAGAGACCGTCGACACCAAACTTGCCCCATCTCTGCCCAATTCTAAGGAAGTTATGCCTTGCAAGCATCCTGAAAACACATCTCATCAAATGAGTGGTCATGAGCTTGTGCTGAGAGATCCCTTTCTCTCACAGTGAGCAACGTATACACAGACTCCAAACGTTTAACCATCACTGCGTCTCTCTGTCTATCTGTCTGTCTCTGTCTTTGTCTCTGTCTCTGTGTCTCTGTGTCTCTGTCTGTCTGTCTGTCTGTCTCTCTCTCTCTCTCTCTCTCTCTCTCTCTCTCTCTCTCTCTCTCTCTCTCTCTCTCTCTCTCTCTCTCTCTCTCTCTCTCTCTCTCTCTCTCTCTCTCTCTCTCTCTCTCTCACTCTCTCTCTCTCTCTCTCTCACTCTCTCTCTCTCTCTCTCTCTCTCTCTCTCTCTCTCTCTCTCGTGAACATGACATCTGATCACCTCCCCAACCTTTGCCCGGCCAGGTGAGGACAAAGATGGTGACGGAGGCGCTGCTGGGGGTGGTGCTGCTGGTGCTGCTGGCTCTAGTGCTCAACAGGAGACCCAAAGGTCTTCCTCCAGGTGCGTAAGACTCATGTGAGGATGTTGTGGTTAGATATATACAGACTTGTGATTGCCAGAAGTGGAATGCAAACTGGAGACTCCATAATTACAGACAAAAGGTTGTACAGTAAACAGTTTACTAAATTTAACGTATGTGAGAATAGTTCAGAAATATGGCAGATTTTTTTATTTTTATCATTCTCTTTTTTCTCGGTTTTCCATTGAACATATTTATAAAGATCTGAACTGTTTAATGATGCGTGTGTGTGTATGTGTGTGGATGTGTGTGTGTGTGTGTGTGTGTGTGTGTGTGTGTGTGTGTGTGTGTGTGTGTGTGTGTGTGTGTGTGTGTGTGTGTGTGTGTGTGTGAGGCAGGTAAATATAGGGAGTGATGTGTGTGTTGACAGGTGAGTGGGGCTGGCCGGTGCTGGGGGCGCTGATGCCCTCTGGGATCTCCATGGAGGAACACGCCACCAACCTCATGCAGAAGTACGGCGACATTTTCACGTAAGTTTCAGGCAGTCTTTGGTAAATGATGGTCGGTATATCTATATCGGTTTTGTCTATGTTATAAGTACATTGCATTAACATACATTAGTCAGCTGTCAGCAACAGTCGCTACAAATAGAAAGAGATATCCTATCCTACGATGTCTTAGGAAAGTCCCACCTACACCGGACCCCCGGACCTACAACTCACGCTCATACAGCGTGAGTTGGTGAAAGTCTTTTTTAAGCAAGATTTTGGTAATTGTTGTACATGCTGCTATGCCAATATGTCCACTCACAGTATGAGTAGCGCTGTCCAATAAACTAGTCCCTCGAGGCAAAATTAATTAAATTCCTAAGAAACCTAACCTACTCGGACCAAAACAGGACATCACGTCAATTTCGCCAGCCAATACCGTTTTCTAGTACGAACGTTTTTGGCCTTAAAGTATACGTCAAAATGCGACGTGCTATTAGGAAGATGGTTTGGACCGAGAGAGAGAGAGAGATGAGCTACAGGCATGTGAGCAAGAGCCATATATGAATCAAAGGGATGTGAGAAAATACTTCTTTTGCATAATAAGAAGAGCATGAAAATGGGATGAAATAGGCGAGAAGGAAGTAGATGCCAACTCCAGTCACATCTTCTAAACTAGACATGATAGGAGGCATATAGGTAGGAAGTCATTGCATTTGAGTTAGACGACTGACAATTGTAACAGATACTCTAGGAGCTGAAGCTGGATACTGCGTGTACAGATAAGTGAGCACGTATTTAGGAATATGGAATACAATGTGATCACACACCCGAGAGATGATTGTAGTAATGGCGGGTAGGAGCAGTATTGAGGAGACCCGAGAACCAGTGCTGAGAGAAATGAGGCATCTTGCGGAATCAGATAAGGAAAAGGAGGTAGGATAAAACATGAACATTTCCGGGAAATGTCCCGAAAAAAAATTGTTTCCGGGAATCGAATCTGGGCCATTAGGACTACGACCCCCAAGCGCTATTCGCTCAGCCCCACAGTACGTACACAGCCCCACAGTCCGAGAGTACACACACACACACAGTCCGTGTGTGTGTGTGTGTACTCTCCTAGTTGTGCTTGTGGGGGTTGAGCTCTGACTCTTTGGTCCCGCCTCTCAAGTGGTGTACAGATACCTAAACCTACTGGGCTCTATCATATTTACATTTGAAACTGTTTAAAGAGTCAGCCTCCACCACATCACTGCCTAATGCATTCCATTTATTAATTAACTACTCCGACACTGAAAAGTTCTTTCCAACGTCCCTGTGGCTCATTTGGGTACTCAGTTTCCACATATGTCCCCTTATTCGCGTACCTTCCATGTTAAACAGTTTATCCTTATTGTGAGAGTTTGAGGATGGAATTAATGAAATGGTTTTGAATTTTGGATAATTTCTAAAAAAAAAAAATCCTTAACTCCTTTAACCTTATTCCTGTCGTGATATATACATCCGTCGACTTTACTTGAAAGTCTAGATGGGTCGCCTGAGGAAGGACTTGCTTAGCTAATACACCCAGTGTAGTAAGCAGCTCATTCCTCACTCTGGGACCATATAAGAATAATTGACTAGACGCGAGCAAACGCCGAGACCTCAAAATGTTGAAATCCCCCCACTTAGGCCGTTGACCTTCGTCACTCGCAGGAGCGAATCTAACGAGTAGGTCCTGGGCTCTCACAACAGAATTTATGTTGTATAGTGCTATGAATTCAGCTGAGGCAGAATTCAGCTATGAATTCCCCATGAGGCAGTCTCAATTTAAAATTAATAATAAAGTGGCAGAACTTAAGTAGTGCAATAAAATGTGTGGGGTGTAATAAAAATACAGTGTTCAACATAACAATAAAATTTATTCAATAAAGTACTAACTACTGTAACAACGAAAGAAATATCAATGACGTTACTCAAAATCCTTCCTGTGACACTTTCACTGTCAGCTAGACACCAGCCCCGAGGCTGCATAATGAACTAACTCGAACATACTGAGTGAAGACACATGAATGAATCAAGCAAGCAAAACATCCTAATCTATAATAAATACGCAACATCAGCAAGGTAGGTTATGAGACACGTCTCCAACGACCTCTTATCAGTACTCTACGCTTCTTGATGCTCACTTCTGCAATGGTTACTAATTTGCCTATCACTGACATGACAATGGCTAATGGAGTTACTGGTACTCCAGCAACCCTCCTCAATTAAATCTTTACGTTAACACTATGTCTCTCGGACAATTCAACAATCAATAACAAATTGATTACGTTAATATCAAAGTTACATTTACGTTAACTTAATCTTGTCTTCTCACAGACAAATCAAACTTGCGACTGTCACTGGTAACTTGGAAATAATACAAACACTCTACCTGTCGAGCATTCAGCCAGTAATCCCCATTAATCCCTTTACTTCCAGACAGCTGATTAATCTCTGTACTAGTTACGTTAACGACGATATCGGTTACTATCACCCAACGATAGTGAACTCAAATTACAATGTCCAAAGTGCTAAGAGAACGGTAATCACTCGTGATTACCCTTGAGCAATTAATTACTATCCCGAAGATCAATAATTAATTAATATAAATTCGTAAAGTTTCACACTGGCTCAACAATATACATTAAAGGCATGAAATCCGTCTGAGCCTTCCATACTCAGACCAATTCAGGTGGCCAATATCGATAATTAATCACCACGGTTACGTTATTTTACAATGATGACACTACCCACGAGTCAATCAAATTACCTGTCCACTGACAGATCAATAACCAACGTTACGTTAATGGAACAATGGAGCCTTTGTGTGAGTCGATCTACACTGATCGAAGTTAATTACCTTGACTTCCTGGAACCCGTTAATTACCTGCCCACTGACCAATAATTACAACAGACAATAATCAAAATGGAGGATTCAGCCCTCCCGGAATTCTACAATTCATGTCCGGCAGTGACTAGGCTCCCTGGGAGACTAACGCAGCTATTCCTAAGAAATAATTAACCCAAACGTATCTTACGTTACTCAAATTGTTAAAGAACAAATTATGGGGGGGGGGGGGTTCTCAAATCCCTCACCATTACCCCTCCCTTGTCCCTTCGTCCTCCCCACCATCTCTAACTTCCGTCCCCTCATCATCCCCACCATTCCCCACTCCCTCGTCCGATGCCTTCCCAAATGGTCTGATGTTCCCATTAGAAAATTGGGAACATGAAGTGATCAGATGTTCCCAACACTCAAATATAGGAAAAACAGTTAAAAAATTAAATGAAAATATGAAAAAATATAAAAATAAACTATACCCGGCCGGTCGGCCGAGCGGACAGCACGCTGGATTTGTGATCCTGTGGCCCTGGGTTCGATCCCAGGCGCCGGCGAGAAACAATGGGCAGAGTTTCTTTCACCCTATGCCCCTGTTACCTAGCAGTAAAATAGGTACCTGGGTGTTAGTCAGCTGTCACGGGCTGCTTCCTGGGGGTGGAGGCCTGGTCGAGGACCGGGCCGCGGGGACACTAAAAAGCCCCGAAATCATCTCAAGATAACCTCAAGATACTCACGAAATGAACAGTCTGGTAAACAACACAGCTCAATTCCAACGCAATTCACACAAAATAATTAAATCAAAATGAAAATAAATCAAAATCTATGAAAATTCAATTTATTAATGCAATCAGAAACACTGAAATGGAATTGTAACATATCTAGTATTGCATGTTTGTTGCTCTTAAATGCAACAGATGGCGCTGTTTTCCAAGAAAAGCATAATTTTACCTGTCACAGGTGTGGTATCTATACTCCAACCCATTCTCGCACTTTCGTATAGTCAATATTGACTTATTAAATACGTGCATATGTGACATACTAAACATACTAGTTTACCTTGAAAAGCTTCATAGAAAACACCGACCTTACCTAACCTTCTATGTATGTTAAGATAAGCATCTTATTGCTTCGTAATTACAATTATTACTTAACCTATTATAAGTATAGGTTAAGTAATAATTGTAATTACGAAGCAATAAGATGCTTATCTTAACATACTAAGAAGGTTAGGTAAGGTCGGTGTTTTCTATGAAACTTTTCAAGGTAAACTAGTTTGTTTAGTATGTCACATATGCACGTATTTAATAAGTCAATATTGACTGTAAGAAAGTGCGAGAACGGGTTGTATACTCATACTTACGAAATGAACGGTATGCTAAACAACACAGCTCAATTCCAACACAATTTCACACAAAATAATTCAATAAAAAAAATCGAAATCTATGAAAACAAAATTTATCAATGCAATCGGAAACATTTAAATGCAATTCGTGACATATTTAGTATAGCGTGCATGTTGCCATATGTGCAACAGATGGCGCTGTTTTTCAAAAACGCATGTTTTTACCTGTCACAGGGGTGCCATCTATATAGTAGATATATAAAAAGACGCGCCTATTCGAATGCAACGTTGTGTCAAAATTTCAAAGCAATCAGTAAAGAGGTTTCGAAGATTTCCCTCACATGAAAAACATAAAAACACAGTTTTTTCAGAAAAAGCACGTTTTATTTTTTTTACCCACAAGCGTGGCATCTATATTGTATGTATATATAAACCTACTCGGATGCGAATGGAACGTTGTGTGAAAATTTCAAAGCAATCGGTGAAGAACTTTCGGAGATTAGCGATTTTGAACAAACGAACATTTCCATTTTTATTTATATAGATATCACTGCTGACACCTGTAGCCTTCAGCTATCAAACGTTTATGGGAACACTAAGGAGATTTCACACACTCCTTAAATCAACTTGGGTGAGTGATTAGCGATCTCACGGATCGATAATTACCCTGAGAATTTACATTACTCGACCGAGCAGTCGGCTGTCACTCCCGACAGCCTCGTCACTCACCACGAGAATCTACCAATATTACGTTAACACGTCAGCCCCGGAACCACACATATGTGTAACCACACTTATCACAGCCCTGGGGGAGCACAACATAAGAAATAACTA